TTGTTGCAACAAAGGGCCCTCCTCTGTGTCAGCACATCTTGTCTGCAGCCGGCCGGTTGGGCTCATCAGTGGGGTCAGAAGTGGCTGTAATGGACCCTACAGAGGATTTCACTCTTATTTATATCTATCAGAGACAAATGAGCTCCTGTCTGGAGGAAAACTGGATTTTGTTGAGGCTTTCAAAGCACAAACTAGCATCAGTGAGGCGTTTGAACTGGTTATTGTCGAGCCTGTTTGTTTGCATGTTTGTCCCAATAGGCTTAACCTTTTTGAAGTACCCTACTTAGGCAGCAGAATCACCACTTTATCACGGCTGAACAGCCAAATTAATCTAATCATTCTGTTAATGAAGCTCCGATAGCCCATCCATCCTGACCTGAGTGGACAAATCGTTCTGGGGCAAAGATGTCGTTTCCTCCAGTTTTCTGCACCATGATGTAACACAGCGTGCCCCTGTCACTCAGGTTGATCTGAGCGTAATCTCGTCAACAGATCAGAGGCGCAACGGCTGAGCACAAAGCGGTGCCACACCGACCCCGGCCTAATGGGATTGGTCACCATCACTTGATTAGCCGGCTCGAAAGGAGAACCAGGTCGCCTGCCTTTAGGGCCTCATGAAGAGAGCAGAAAGACACAAGTTTTCACTTCTTCTCTGTGAAAATTATATACAGTTGTTCCTAAACTTTTCAGTTTGAACTGTTCAAATGCTGCAAAAAAGCAACATATTCAATCAAAGCTTCTATTTTTCACTTTAACCCCCCAAGATATTATGCTATAATTAGTAATTATTTTAAAGTTTGATTTGAGTTCTGTAAATCTTTCCCAGCTGAGAGTTTCTTGACCCACGGAACAGTCCTGATCTCAACTTTGAGAACTAGTTTACAATATAACAATCAGTTATAGGTGTGTTACACTTTATTTATGGTGATGCATTATTTTTAATTTCAAAACAGAGCTCAAACATTTTACCCATGCATTTTGCTCGTGTGACTTCCTGCTTTTTCCTCTGTTTTTACCTTTTGTTCTCGAGTCAGACGTCTTCGGGCGCTCCGGTCGATGCTTCAGCTGCCTGCTGAGCCTGTTTGACCTTGATGTCACCTACATACATCTCAGACTGACTGCTTGAATGAAGGGCACACCTGTGACAGAAAAACTGAACATAAAGACAAAAACAGAGATTATATTTCTTCATTAAAAGATTTTCAAAATTCAATTTGTTGTGTGTAGTTTATCGGGGTAAAGATGATGCTTGTGAGCTCCAGCAGTAGCATGTGCACGCACGCACGCACACGCACGCACGCACACACACACACACACACACACACAGAGAGCTAATACAGTTCTTTGTGTATCAACAAAACCCACTACATTTGTGTAAAATACATAAAAAAAAGATATCAGCTGAACTTATTAATATTTTAAAAAGCACTGATGAACTTGATTTGCTGCAGGTTCTAAGTGTTTTGAAGAGCTGGACCGACCAGAAACACCCACATGATTACACCACATGCTATCAGGTGGGTGGTCATAATGTTATGACTGATTGGTGCACGATGACTTTAAAGGAAAAAGAAACGCTCAATTTAGGATTACTTTGTTCAAGTGAAAGCTTTTGAAAACATTTGTAAAGTAAACCCAATTCAAGATGGCTTCCACAAACAACAGACCATGGACAGCATAAAAATGGCTACAGCTGTTCCACTTTTACAGATCAGGGTTTAAACTGGAGCGCTAACACATTTCTTATGATCTAGCACAACTAAAAGATTACACATAACGTCATTTACAACCTTAATACAAAACAAAAGTTGTGACGTTGTGGAACATGTACAACATTTGATCATTTAACAATATTTTGAAACCGCGTTGGATTTTGACACATTAGTTTATGTCAGGAGCCTCTCCTCTTATCTGTGTGCTGTTTCCTTCTTAGTGGTTCTTTGAGTTCATTTTCTGGATTTGTTCCCTTCATGGTAATGGTATGGTATCTTTGGTTCTCTTTATATTCTGTCTCCTGCCTTCACCACACCAGTAGTTCACTGGATCAACTTCCTGTCCACGTCCTGGTCTCTGTTGTGCTTCCTGTGGTAGTTCCCTGTGAAACCTCTGAGTCTGTGAGTTCTGCTGCCACGTCAGCTGTTTGCCTTCTGTAATGAAGTATTTTAGTTTGACTTTCAAGATCCAACGATTCCTTTCAGTCTACATTCTGGGTCGTGAAGCCTCCATCGATCAACGCTCACGTTCAATCTTTTACTTAACTTTATTTATATAGCACATTTCATGCACGATAGCTCATTGTGCTTTAATACTGAACAGTTGACAGCTGCTGCTGTACTATGAGCTGTATCATGTACTGTATGTCACTACCTTACCATCATAAGTAATCTCAATGTTACTCATTACCTGTGCAATAACCTGTCACACAACCTGTGTAGTATATGTTAGTTATGTGCAATATATATCATGTGCATTTT